ATCCCCAAGGTTGAACGACCCATCCCAAGGTTGAACGACCCATCCCCCCAGGTTTCACGACCCATCCCCAAGGTTGAACGACCCATCCCTTCTCGAATGTACGGCTTTCTACTGCTTTGTGTCGCCCTCGAAGGTGAAGCAGGCGGACCTTTGGCCCGGCGCACTTCCTGTCCATGGATCAATAGCCATGGGCCCAGAGTTCTGCACCTAAGCTTTTCCTTGTGGAAGCTACTGGCACATACTGGCACCATACTGAGGAGCAAAAGAAGCATTTTGGGGGATTTAGCTTGCTGGTTGGCGTCAGCTAGCAAAACGATTCCAAAGACCCCGGCTGCAAAAGTTCGCCAGGCCTCTCCTTCCTTCCGAGCCCCCCCATGTAGACTAAGTGGTCGGCTCACTTGACGATGCCTCACCGATGCTTCCTGAGCCGACTTGTGGATTTGGAGCCAGTTGCGATGATATAGCTCCACTTCCACAGATATGACTCATCGAACGAATCTAAACAAATCTTCCAAAAACAGTGCCTTCTTGAGAAATCACTGCAAGACAATAACAAAAGAAGTGTTTTGCCGAACTGTTATCTTTTTGGTAAGCAGAATCGCCCAAATCTGGAGGGCCTTCCTCGGCGGCACCCCGTTCTTCTTTCTGCTCAAAACGAGCCGCGAGACTGCTAGGTCAGATCATCCAAGCTTCAAAGGAGGAGAAACGCCATGGACGAAGTCCTGGGCCTTGATGGGACGGGCAGCCATACAACTTGCGCTCCAGTCCAGACGCACCTCACAGTCCTTCCCCATTGGGGGGTACAGGAGGAGACTACACACCAACCGATAGCAACACATGCACCACACCTGCCGCGCGGTGGACCGGATGAAGCCCGGGTCCAACCTGACGCGCGTTAAGGCGAACCTCGAAGTGGTTAGGACGAAATTCCTAATTCATGGATCAAGACTTATCGAATCAAGAGAGGTTTTGGTTCCAAGACATGTCTTCACTCGCTGGTACGAGAGCGATGCCGCTTCATGAATGGGAGTTCGATCGGCAAGGCGTCCCCTATCAAAGAGCAATCCAAATTAGGAGTCAGAGGGAGACGCACATTTGATACTTTGGGAGAATCAGGTGTGGTTTTGAGGTCAAATTGGGGCCATTTGATCAGATCTACATCAATGCTTTCCCGTCTCCTTCAAGGACTTCCCTGAGCTTCTACTGAATTCGGGGATCAAGAGCCCACAACGACCCCAGATTTGAAGCTTTGTAACTCTCTTCCGCCAAAAAGAAAGACGAGAACGAGTCACACTCTTCCAGTTCAACGTCCAAATCCCTTGGGTGCAGTCATTCGACCGCGTGAGCTTGAGGAGAATGGCATCCAGAGGATCTTGGCATGGCAGCCCAGCGGGTCCGGTAGCAGGTCTGCCGATTGGATGAATTCAGACAGACCTTTAGATGAATCCGTCACGTTTTTTGTTCAGGGGATTTGTTGTTACATTTAGAAGATTGGTGCCAGGAGTCACATGGAGTTGGGTGCCATCCATGGAGGAAGGATAGGGGTGCCCCAAAATCAACAACCACTCACTGGATGGGACTCAAAAGCATTCTTTTGTGACTCTTGGTGTAAGAGTTTTTCCCCTCACACTTCGTGGTCTGGGTCCCAATCTCTTCGCTTTTTTCGGCCGGGAGCGACTCAATCGACGCGTTCGGTCGCAGCGAAGGCCCTTTGGCGTTCGGTCGGTGCGAAGTCTTGTGGCTGACAAGAGGGTGCCCCGAAATTGGCATGTAAAGAACGGACCAATAGCAATGGCCTTCAACCCAAGAAAGCTTTCAACTGCAGAGACATGAAATAGCTCCGTGCTCAAGAACCGCGCCTGGGACTGCCAAGCTCGCACGCGCCACACGCCACGCGGACCGTGTGGCTGTGCCTTCCTCTCGCGCCACGCCCTTTCCTCGGTAACGGCGGCGCCCTTTCCTCGCCGACCGGCGACCAGGCTGTGATTGAGATGTGCATCCGGGACATGAACCTGGCCCGGATCCCCGGATCACGAGTTTCTTTTTTTCACAGTGGCTAACACAGGCTCCGCGCGGGAAAAACGTGGAGACACAGGTGATTGGGATACAGAGTCGGGGGGTGTCACATCATGCGAACTCTGTGGCGCTAGGCTTTGTGTGTGGGGGGTGTCCCATTACTTGTAACAGTCGGTAAAGAACATGACGATTTTAGAGAGGCGGGTCAACCAGGCCCCACCATCATCCAGTGGGCCCAGGGTGTCTAGGGTATATACCCAAGCTTTATGAGTTTTTGTTATGTTTGTATTTTTGGCGACCCCCAAACGAAACCGGGCGCAGCCACAGCGCCACGAAAGCGGGTGCAGCACAGAGGCGCGCATTGGCTCATCGTTCTTTTCTGGAACAGATTCGAACAAACACATTTTGTTTTTCCAGGTCGAACACTTATTCGTAAAACCCCTCCCAATCAAAGGTGATAAGGACTCTGGATGGTGTGAATCCAGGACTCTGCTCTTCGGAAAGCCATCCATCTGTTCCTCGGCTTGCCATCCGTGCCCTTCCGTGCCGGTCCGTGTCCCCAGGTGAATCTGTCCACGTCGCTGCACCGTCTGGCGAAGCTCTCGGTGAACACACCGCAGAGCGACAGCATGCTCCGCCAGGCACCACGCGCCACGCGCCACGAACGTCGTGCTGCACAGCGGTCGCCAAAACGCTAAGAAGGACCATCGAAGCGCCTGGTTGATGGGCTGGAGTAGTCCCAGACGACTTAGGGATCTCCATGGTTCTCACCCCAACTGGATGTGCGTGTCGGTGGTTTTGTTCGAGCAAACAAATTCCTCAACTGTTCAATGAGAACTTGTTGGCCTGGGCTGTTTGGCATGGAGTGCAAGGCCTGGAAGACGGGCCTTGGAAGCTGACACAGTTTTGGTAAAAGCAGTTGAGGTCGGATTTGTGAGTGCATTTCAGATCAAGGGGCAGCCCATGATTGCAGAGAGAATGCCGAGAGGCTACGTGACATTTGCTTAAAGTTATTGTGACACACTGCACTATATAAGTACCATATTTTAGCAGCAGTGAAGCAGAGCTGAAGGCGGGCCCAAAGAAGCTCTTCTGAAAGCTTTCGTTGCTGCAATGGCTGCCGACGGGGCACGACCACAGGAGAGCACAGGCAAAGAGGGTCAATTTCAATCGAGCAAACGGGAGATCATCCAGATCCAAATTGGCAAGGCCGGCAATGCCATTGGTAACTGCTTTTGGCGCGAACTCTGTGATGAGCACATGATTGTAACTAACAATGACCAGCTCCGAGGCTGTTTAGAAGATGGCGAGCCAGGGGGACATGGCTACCTGGACGTGTTCTTCAATGAGGGCCGAAAACGGAGCCACGGCACGCGCCACGTGCCGCGCGCGATTCTCATGGACACCAACATGGGCGACTTAGCCACGGTGGCGCAAGACCCCAGGATCGGTGATTTGTATCGGCCCGAGAACATCATCGGAAACGATGAAAGCTCGGGGAATTGCTATGCCAAGGCCTTTCACACCGAAGGTCCTGACCTGGCTGATAGATGCTTGGAGATGGTTCGCAAGGAGGTCGAAAAGTGCAATTGCCTGCAGGGCGTGCAATTCACCCATAGTGCCTCCGGAGGAACGGGTACTGGCCTGACAGGTCTTGTGTTGAAGACTTTGCGGGACTACTTGGACAGGCAAAGCAAGTGTGTCATGCAATCCTTTGTCTTGGCGCCAGCCCCGGGTATTTCGGATGTGGTGCTAGAGCCCTACAATTCGGCACTCTGCTTTCAAGATTTGTTGGAGTACACCGACCAAGTCTTTCTCTTTGACAACAAGGCCCTCAGTGAGATTTGTCAAAAGGCCTTGGAGCAGGACATGCCCAAAATGGCTGACCTGAATCGCGTGGTGGCTCTTTGCATGTCTGGCATTACCAGTTGCTTGAGGTACACGGGGCCTTTAAATGCAGATCTCCGGAAGTTGCAGACCAATCTGGTGCCCTTTAAGAATGCCCACTTCTTGATCAGTGGCCTCGCACCCTTGACGGCGAAGACCTCCGAGAAATATCGCAAGAGCACCGTCTTGGACTTGGCGCAGCAGATGTTCTCCAAGGATAATGTCACGGTGAAGTGCGATCCTTTGAATCCAGGTGGAGACGGTTTTTTCTCTGTTTTTGTTTTTAAAAACCACCCAGTTTTGGCAAGTCTTGGCCTGTTTTGCTCTGCAAAGCAGCGCAAAAGACAACAAATTCTCAGAAGAATTAAAGATCCCTAATAGATGCCCAACAAAAGGAAACAAACACCCGGAGATGAAAGAAAAAAAAAAACGGACATGACTAACAAGAGAAAAATACAAGACAGACACAATGACAAACAAACAATGGAAGAATTACAGAAAACGGACGGCCCAAAAAACAAAACTCCAGCCAACTTGGCTTCCAGGGTTTATGGGTAAGAGTTCAGAACGAGAAAGAAGACTCTTTCGACCCAAATTGACATCATCCAATAAACCAAAAAGACCAACCTTGTGAGAAGAAAGAAAAAGACACCGGTTGCTTCAAAAAAGAAAACACCTATGAAACGGACCCATGAACATGAAAAAATGACACGAAACGAACGAAACGAACCTGTCGTTTGGGGTGATGGTATAACCACATGACCAACCACTGCTTCACTCAGCGTCTCCGAATTCGCTCAGTCGCAGCGGAGCGGAGCGTCGCAGGTGACGAGTATCATGGCATCTTGAAGGCCCGGTTCTTGGCCTCCTGGGCGTCGTGGCGAGGGGACTACCAGACCAAGGAGGTGGATAAGGTCCTCCATGATTTCCAAAAGGATGCTCGGATATACACCGAAACGGAGATACACAGAAAAGGATATACACACATAGTATATATACTATATTTATGTAGATATATACCAGGAGTCGAAACCTAACAGGTCACCAGCTGCGACTTTGAGGTCAGCAGAAGCCTCCAGAGGAGACCTGTTGCAAGGTGCCGGTATATACATATATAATATAATATATATATATATTTTTTGTCACTGTTTCCCCGGAAAAAGGAGTCACGAAGTCGGCTGGCTGATTTCTAGCTCGTTTTCTTTTTTCTTTTCACAATTTTTTTCTTTTTGTTTGACAACCGTTTTCAAGACATCTTTTGTACTCTTCCCAGGTTGATTTAAGTTGCTTCAGCGAAGTAAAGGAAGTTCCCTTTCTTGCATAATTACCCTTAAGACTTAAGACCATTCGAGTAGACTTCTGGCACGACCTATAGCTACATGAAAAGAAAAACTATAAGTTTTTTCTCAGTTTGCATCCAAGGATGGAAGTCGCTTTGACAAGTTCTTCCCCGATTGGATCCCCAACTCAATTGCCTCGAACATTTGTGCGCCTAAGGGTAGCAGCAACTTGGTGGCTGCAACTTGGGGTGATTTTTCACTTTCCCTACATCCCTGGCATAGAGAATGTATGGGAAGATGTTTCTTTTTTCCTAGCTCCTGGACATAAGCAAATCCAAGGCAAGGAGAAGGACATCCAGAAGGACAGTCGTGTGGTCTTTACCTCGAACAATACCTCCGTGCACGAGGTCTTTGATCGATGCATTAAAGTCTGGGATAGCCTCTATAGATCCAGAGCCTATGTGCATGTGTACGAACAGGATGGCATCTCGGTTCATGACTTAGTGGAGAGCCGGAACATTGTCAACTACATTTCTGATGCCTACAAGGAGTTTGCTCGATGGGAGGACAAGTTTTTTGAGCAGGATGGTGGTGGTGGCTACAACAAACCAGTCATTCGAGATCGAGCTGTTGAGAATGACGAGCAGCTGACCATTGCTGAGGAACTGAAGAAGTTGTGGGAAGGCGAAATGTACATAGAGCAAGTCAGTCATCGGCGATGAATGTTGCCGTGGAGGACTCTTGTTTCTCATGCCAAAGAGCGTTGTATATTAACTTGGGCCAGTGGCCACCTGACTGACGTGGCCTGGACGCCCAGAATTGAGAGCTGAGAGCTGCAAAACGCCGCACCAAACACGGGAGGATCCGCCACAAACACGATGAGTCACACCATGGTCTTGTTCGAGCTGGTGAAGCCCCGTCCCGATTCAGTCGCCGATCATGAAGTTGCTGCTGGTTGGCATTGCCACCGCCTTCCAAGCAGTGGAGAAGGTCTTGAACTCAGAGCCAAAGTGTCCAATTCGATCCGGCAAGAAGCTTGACAAAGGTCCGCTTTTGCTTTTTGTGTTTTCTCGAAGACTCCACTTTTAATATGTATATATATATAAACCTAAGAGCAATGGCCTCCAACCTAATAGCGATGGCCTCCAGCCTGATAACGAAGGTTCGCTTTTGCCTTTATGTTTCCTCGAAGACTCCACCGTTTCTGGTTTTTTCAGCCCTTTGCTTGTTGTGTTACTGAAAAGAGATCTTGGTCGAGGTTCCCTTTTCGGCCGACCGGTTCCACACGTGGGAACCGGTCCCATCGGTTCCCGACACGTCGGTTCCCGACACGTCGGTTCCCGACACGGCGGTTCCCGACACCGACACGGAATGGTCGCGACCCATTCCTGAGCTGACTCAGGATCCTTCTCTTCCACAGTCTTTAAGCAACATTGTCGCAGCCTCGGATGGTCAAACACCCAACGGACCCACCTGAGAGATGGGTCGGTGGCCCAAGTCGGGCAAACGGTGACATCGGGAGAAGAAAGGCGTCGGGCTGGTGGGGTCAAAGAACATGCTCAACAGGGTGAGTGAAAGATCCCTGAACTCGGAGTGTCAGGGAGGAACTCGGAGTGTCAGGCATTTCCCCACAGCCCATGGCAATCCATGGCACCAGTCTTGAAATTCATTGCTGTTGCAACTGAGACCTGGTCCCTTGCCACGCTGCGGATTGTCGACTACAAAGTCTTGGAGTTGGTGAAGAACTCAGCAACTGCACTGAGTTGGATCGTTCTCGCAGATGAGATGGAAGCCCTGGACCTCCCTTTTCCAGACACTCCAGTTGGTGCCGACCAGCCACTTTTTGTGGAGAAACGGCCGACCTGCTGTGGTCGACCTGGACATACGGCCGAGCATTTCATCGTGTTTTGGGCTCTTGGAAGAGATGTATGCGCACGGGCTCGACACCGAAACACAGGGGTCGGACCTGAAAACCACCTAACTTCACGCAGGGGGAAGGATCCGGGGGTTTGGTTCCCAAAGCCTATCTGTTGGTTCGGGCGCGGATTCTTTGGGTAGTTCGGTATGTCCTTTTGGCGCCTTCGCGATCCAGTGACGCACCGCTCCATCCTAGAGGCTGGGACACTGGCGGTGGCCAACATGAAGGACGGCTCAGCGACCTCGGCGCCGTGGAAGGATCCGATTCCATTCCATATATAGGGCCCATGCCTGGAACGGTGCTGGATCGTCATGTCGTTGGCTGGATGTGACATATTTGAGTTGGACGTTGTATACGAACACCTGGACAAACATTCGGTGGCTTAAAAAGGATCGAATGAAGTTCGCTTTCAGCGACCCCCAGAGCAGTTTCACCCTGAGAACGAAAGCAGATCAAGGGGCATTTGGTTTGTTGTTGCGAAAGTGGTTGCGAAAGCTTTTTGCGGTTTAAGTTAAAGAACAAGCTTCTGCCGCCAGAGTCGCGAGAAAGAATGAATTGAATGCAATGAATGCAATGAGGAGTCGTGGCCGCACACACCAAAACCGGGTCGTGCCAATCGTCCCACGAGCTTCTGCCGCCACACCCCGGGGCAACCCGGGTTTTCGACACAGCTCCATAGAAAAAACATACACCCTGGGAGTCAAGTCGAGGAATATCCTTTACTTCAGTGGGGCAAACTATAGTCGAACTGGACTTCTGGGGTACACAAGCTCGTGTTGAAGGACTCAACCTGCACCAGATGGTATGGGAAGAGAAGAGAATGGTTGAACCATCTTATACCGGACGCGGTGCATGTTTGTTTTGTTTGTTTCCCAGGTAGTGCAGGATTTGCATCAACATCGAAGGATTTCCCAGCTCACTGCCAGCTCACCAAATGTGTGTTTGCTCAGATGGACAGACCTAATCATTCATCTCTGACATGGATAGAAAGGGGTTTTCCATGTTTTCCTATGAGCCGTGATAGAGAGAGTGGTATCACTTGGGTAACCAGAGCAGAGTACTTGATGCACATTTAACATGGGGAAGTTGAACCTCTTCAAATGCATTTTTCCGTTGCGAAGGGGCAAATTCTCACATGTCTATGTGAAAAACGCAACGGGTATATGATGAGTTATACCCTTCTCCCAAGTCGAATTTTTGCTACGAGCCACTGGTGACCGGTTCATGTTGGTGAGGATTTCAAGGCGTTCGAGCTGGCCTCGCTGCTTTGGTCCTTTGCCAAGCTCGGTACAGCAGACACCATGACACCTGCTGGAGGGCCAAGCCGCACCGTTTCGTTAAGATATATTTTTCTCCGTGAGGAGCAGGGTGTCAAAAGTTTTTTGTTGCAGGGGACAGGAGACTTGTCCAAACCGCCTACGAGCCATGGTCCAAACGTGCCACGTTCAAACGTGGGTTACAGGGGATGGTAGGAACTGTCCAACAACCCTCAAGAGGACCCTTGGAGTCAGGATGGCCATCACCTGCACGAGGAGTGTTGGACGTGGCACAAAACATCTGGAACACCCTCAAATTTCACTTGGTTTGGGTGACCGTGTTGGCCGTGTTGGCATAAAAGAAGGATACAGTTTGATGAACCATGAAAGGATGGTACATGAGAACGAGAACGCGACTGTGTATGTGACTGCAGAGTGCCCGGTGGGGTGCCTAATGTTGTTCGACAGGGCGCTTGTGGCTGCAAGCGGCCGCGCTTGCGGCCGCAAGCAGGTCAGCTAACTCCTCGCCGGGCCTTGCCAGGAAACTGACGTAGCCGGGCACTGAAGCAGCTTTATATGGGCTATTGCACCACAGCACAAGTAGCTAAGTCACCACTTAGATGGTTCCAATGTAGCTAATTCACCAGTCAGCTAAGTTACAGAACACTTTGTTGACTCACCACCTAGCTTACCACCTGGCTAGCTCCAGCTTGGCAACCTCGTTTGAACTCCGTAGTCACTTGGCCAAGTGAGCACTCAACCAATGCAACACCTGAGCCACCTGAGCACAGCTCAAAACTTGAGAACCGTACCCGGTTAGATAGCTCAGCCATCTGCGAACGTGCCGGCTTTCTCTGTGTGTGTTACCGTTTTATGGGTCGGTTTTTTCGCACGCGCACACACACACACACTTATTGACACACGGATCACAGTGCTGCAGGTTTGCCAATCTGCGGTTTTAGGGTTCGAGGTTTTGCCCCGGGTTTCGCAGCCGTATCCTTGAAGCACATTGTGACCAGAAGAACCTCTTTCAACCTTTTGACACCTGTGTTTCTCCTCCCTTTGCTCCAACTTGCTTTCAAAAAGCCCATCACGTCTCCTCTTGCTCCTCCAAGTCGCGCCAACCTTGCTCGCCTCCTCCAGGTGGTGGGTCCTCTGTTCCGAGCGGCCACCTCACGGTTGATGGCCTGCATGCCGGGTGCCGGCTTTCGTAGTCTGGCCACCGCCGCCTGGGCCTTTGCAACGGCACGGCAGGCAGGGTGTCGTTTCCCGGTGTCGTTGGCGAGGCAAAACGTGCAGCGAGGCGGCAGGTGGTCGTAGTTGTCAAATACCCTCCTGTTTGCCGGTTTCGAGCGGGTTGTGCGGCATGCGGCAGGTGGGTGGTTGATCCGAGATTTTTGTGTGGGTTGTAGTTATACCTGGACCTTCAAGGGTGGTTAATGGACACCCCCCTTAACCTCTAAGGAGCTATAATTGGACACCCCTTGGAGGGTCCTGGTATACTTCTCTATACTTCTCTTAAACTCCGGTTTTTGATGCTGGTTTCTGGGCGTTGTGAAGAGCTTGGCTGACTCCAGCGACTGACTGCCTCACTGACTGCTTCACTGACGTCTCCAGGCCAGTCAGCGACTGTTCCGCGCGATTGCCAAAGAAGTGCAGACGTGCTTGCCCACAGCAAACAGCCAGGAGCCGCTTCAAGAGTCTAAGTGCAGAGACTGTCTGTGAGTTTTTGAGATGACGTCAGTAAATTCTGCCAGGTGACGACTGAGCCTGCCCAAAGACAACTGGTAATTGGAAACATAAATTTACAAGTCGCCCTCGATGGTCGTCCAATCCTTCCGTTCGCTTCCATGCTTTGACAGTTCATGATGTTCATGTATCTGGCTTCGCTCCCAAGTCCACCGATGGGGTGGATGTTCACGCCAGGAGCTGGCGAACATCGTATGGGCATATGGCCTCTTAGAACCGAAGAGATTCCAAGCGAACGCGCAAAAACGAGTTCGGTGGGAACTCTAAAGTAAGAGCCTCTTGACATCAGGAATCCCAAACTGTGTCCAGATGGTTTTTCCAGATGCTTCGAGCCATCTATGCACACGATCTGCCAGAATCACTGCCACAAGCATTTCAGGAGCATTGCCGCATCCGAGGCACCATCGGGCATCGTGACGATCAGCTTTTTCGCTTGATCGCAGAGGCCGGGCGGCCGCGCCCTGTCGCCTTGGCGACCGAGGGGTCGGGGCGTCCTGGGCCAGGAGCCGGCTCTTGAGCTCATCCGAGGAAAGAAGGGCATCAGTCCCCCAGAATCGGCCCTGGCGTGCCGTACCGCTGGGAATCTGGGACCAGCTCGCCAGGTCGCGCCACCTCGCGGTTTCGCGAGCGATGATGCGCGCCACGGCTCGGGTTTCGCCACCGTTCGCGCGATGATCCGCGGGTGCCGTCGCAGGAGTGCGTGCCTCGACTTCAGGACTTCAAGATGCAGGTGAAGCGGTCGGATCAACACCCGGACGAAAACCGTGCGACCATGAAGAACATTGAAGAAATGGGACAGACCCGGTTTTGTCTAAAAATCCTTGCGTGGAGTAAGACCATGGTGTGGTAAAATCCTGGATCTGACTGCTCGAATCTTCTCGACTCTGGAGCCCTGCGCCCAAAACCCGCTGGAGCCCATCAATCAAGAGATGGCGA